GGCAGAGGAGGGGAGCGAGGATCAATGCTCTCAAGCTGAGGGCAGCGGCGGCGGCGGCGGCGGCGTGGGGAGGAAGCTCCTCCCCACGAGCGGGCTCAGATTGCTGCGGGGCTCCCCAGCCGAGTGTTCCGAGTGAAAAAAGCGTTGCTTGTGTGCGAGAGTGTGCGTGCGTGTGTACAAAAGGGTGCTTGCCTCGCCCCCCCCCGGGGGGCAGAGCGGGGGCACCAGGAGAGGGGATGTGGGGGGAGGCTCCCAGGCTTCAAAACACAGCAGCTTTGTTGTTGGACTGGGAAGAGGCTCCCCCACCCCATTTTTAGAAGTCTCCTTTTCCACATCTGGCGAGGCTCAAGAATGTCCCCTCCTCCCCTTTCCCCTCCCTGGGCTGCTTTCCCGCCTGTACCAAAGAGGAGCCGCGGCAGATAAAGGCTTCCAAGCAGCTCCACGGGGGATGAAGACCCGAGGCGCATCCGATGTGAATAGCAGGCTAAGCTGCCACTTGCAATACATTGGGGGCCTTGTTCCAGAGCGGAGCTGCAAAGCTGGGGCCGGAAGGGGGGAAAGGGAAAGCGGGGAGAGAGGAAAAGCAGAGGCCAAAAACAAAATCGCTTCAGTTGCCCAGCTGTCTTTTCGGATTTTCCACCCGTGAAAAAACAGGTGTTGTTTCAGGAGTTGAACAAAACTGCATTCTGAAGCACGAACAGCCCGTGTTAAGCCAGGGTTTGCTCAAGCTTGGTTTACTGAATAACCGATGCTTGATTAGGTTGACTCATCCTGCTAAACTAAGCCATTAATTTACTAATCACAATGACTGGATTCACACAAGCTATGCCAAAACCAAACAATCCAACATTAAGGTTTTAGAGTAACGCCTGCGCCAGACTCGAGATGATCAAGCAGTGTACATTAATGTGTATAAGCATACACAAAAAGACATTAGCCCACACGTATTCTTCAATAGAATCATCATTAATAGCCGTCATTTAAAAAAAATAGTACACTAATCACATGGTAGAACTAGTCATAGCTATTAAGACGATCCACTCTAATCCAGCTCAGAAGTTCAAGAAGGAAATTAATCAGAGAGAAAAGCATGAAAATTAAGACAGATTCTCTCAAGGGAAGGGAGGAAAGGGAAAGAATGAGCATATGGGAGTTGGGAGGGTCTCATTCTTAATGAAAAATAGCAAGGCTTGCTCAGTGGACATAAGGAATCCATTGTGTTGTCTCAATAATTACACTGGCAATGTAGTCTCTCTTTGAGAGACTGCATTTTCCCCACTACTCTAACAACGCGGCTTCCCTTCCTATGCTAATGCATCCTTTGGAATTGTCAAAGCAGCCATTCCTGGCTCAACTAGTGTCACAGCCACAGGCAACCCTTATAGGTAATAAGCAATCAAGTACCATCCTTCATCGGGGTTATGCAACTTGGGGAATGTAAACAAGTTTTATTTTTATGTTTAGCAGATGCAGAGCACTTCTCTGTAAGCCCTTAAACCTGGAAACGTTTAAAAAGCCACTCAAACCACTACAATCCTATTGCAAAAGCAATTAGTCTTGTAGCATTTTAAAGGCTAACAAGCTTATTCTCATGTAAGGTTTTGCAGACTGTGATCAACTTCATGAAACTGTATCTTACCAAGGGCCCCCTTTGCCATCTATTCTGTTTCAACATCTGAAAGATGATGCATCAGATTTATTTTCTGTTGATTTCTCCAAAATCTAAAACTGCATACATCAAATATAATCTGGATTTCTATTATCAGGAGGGACTCTGTTCCAGTTAGGATGCATCACATATTTACTTGCATAGTACTTACCTCCTGGTTCCACCAGTGAGATTGAGGAGGAGGAGGAGAGGGAATTTATTGCCCTCTCCTCCAAAACGTAGATCTGAGTGGTGCAGGAAATTATTGCTGGGGGGGGGGAGGGGAGGAAACCTGGGGACTAGAGACTGATACATGGAACATGAATGAATAAAATTTGAGAATAAGCCTTTCCCCAAAATCTCCAAGAATTTTCACAAACTTTTAATTCACACCTTATACAAAAAGTGAGAAGGAAACCACAAGAGAAAGGATGAAGGAAGCAGCAATGTGGCATTTTGATCTCATCCAAAGCACTTGGGACCATCTCTCTGCCCCCGCCACGCCACTTCCCTCCATTCTGTATTTCTGAGCCACACTTGCCCTTTAGACAGATGAACAAAGGATACTTCCACCACACTGACCCTCACCAACCTACCGAGTCACATTATTTCTCTGAGCAGGAGGAAAACGAATAAACAAAAGCATCATCACTGTGCTTTGTGGCTTCAAGGAGAAACCTATGCTTACTCTGTTGCTACTTGGACTACAAAAACTATAACTCTATCAAACTCTGCTTGTTTATATTGGAAAGGGATACCAAGATTCCTTCAAGAAATCCTCCTCTTGATGTTTATTTCTAATGCTGTGCATTTTTAGATATGTATCTTCTTGATGGTCAGCTGATGTGCAAGTTCAGGGGGGAGCTCTCCTAGGAGTCCTAATTAAAAATTGGATGAAGACAAATGGCCTCTAAGGTGCTTTCTGGTTCTTTCTCGTGTTAGGATTGATCTGCTTCATAAGACAGAAGAGGGTTCCGTGCTGAACATTCGCCTGTATTAATCTTGTATAGGAAACAGGTTTCTTCTTCACAGCATGCTTTCTGAAACAGGAAGACTTGCAGTGCAATTATACATATACCCATTTAGAAATGAGCCCTAAAGGATTGAACTTTATTTTTATTTATATTTTTTCTTAACATAGATGAGCATTCAGCAATGCAAATGTCCTGATTTTGTTGTTTGAAAATGTGAACTGTAACATCTCAACCAGCTCCCTATGAATCAAAAAGTCCTGAACATCAGTATCAGATCCACTGCATCTAGGGATTAAGAGTTGTTTGTTATTAACTACTGTTAATTGTACAGTATGTGTATATATAATGTCTTTTTTAAAGCTGTGTTCCTGA